CTGACACTTGCTAGAGAGGCAAGGCCAGTCCAAGGACTGTGAATACATTTGATGTCGTTGACAGCAAAGCTACAGTTATAGCTAATAGATTTACATTTGCAGTTACTACTATTCATTCTTGTGTTAATTGCCTTTTATAAACATATAATTTGTCAATCAAAAGTGTTTGCAATTGGGGTGTTTTTAGTGAGTTATAATTAAAATCTTTAATTGCTCATTAGCTTTCTACTTATTTATGTCCTCTCTTTGTAAACTGCTTAAGGGACATTTTGTTCCTGTCATAGAGCCTATAGACATTACTGGCTTAGGAACAGCTTTTTTTTTTTTTTAATTGGTTATTCTCACAGATATTCTTAAGTCTCAGGGAATCCAAGTATTGCATTCCTTCCCACATCTAAAGCAGTTTTTAATCCCTCCCTTTAGTTAATATCGTTTTATTCCACTGTATACGGGCATATATATTTGAGTTAGTGGTCAAATAGCAGCTAAAGGAGTTGATAGCTTTTTGATTCTCACAGCTGTTACTTAACACTACGCAATTAACATCAAGCACTGTACTGAAGAATTGGCAGTGAAATATATAACGATCAGAATATATGTAAATCCTAGTAGGTGCTCAAATGACACTCCACCTATTTCTTTATCTTTCCATTCGGACTATCCGCGAGTGACTCTTGAGGGGGCTGACACTTATAAAATTGAGATCGTGCAATGTGACAACAGAGGTTAATGTGTAACAACACTTTATACGAAAATACATACAAAATGTTTATGTTCACCATCTAGAATTATTACAAGAATTCCACTCTTTTATACTACATTTCCCCCCAGAATTTATACCTTAACAGCAAGACTTCTGGATAGATTTTATGATTAACATGTTCATTTGCAACAGCAATTCCTACTACATTCTTTTGGGTATATTTGACATTTTAATTTTTAATTTTAATATAACTATTTTCCTCAGATAGTTGATATAGTTCTAATTTCAATTCAAATGCCAAAAATCAAATTTGGGGGGCAGGCCTGGTGGCACAGTGGTTAAGTTTGCGCACTCCGCTTCAGCGGCCCAGGATTTACAGGTTCAGATCCTGGGTGTGGACCTGGCATGGTTCGTCAAGCCATGCTGTGGAAGTATCCCACCTAAAATAAAGGAAGACTGTCAAAAATGTTAGCTCAGTGACAATCGTCCTCAAGCCAAAAAAAAAAAAAGATTGGCAACAGATGTTAGCTCAGGGCCAATCTTCCTCACAAAAACAAAAAACAATAAAATTTTGTATATTGTTGATAGCTTTTTTATAGGTTTCATTACTCATGAAATATACACATTTCTAGTTCTATTTATTTACCTTTTATGCCAAAGCAAAATAGAAAATTATATATGTGGACTGTAGCATCACTGTAATGCAAAGTGCACAGAAAGAGAAAGCTATGAAAGCATTTTCTTAAGAGTAGAGAGAAGTTAAATTCCTGGGGATTATGGTATTTCTCTGACTTCATATCTGCAACTACTATCAAAGATAATTAATGCAAATTGAAATTACATGTGGGCTTCTTGAGGTGACAAGTCTATTCATAAACTGAGAAAAGTTTGTTATGAATAATTTCTGTTCTCCTTCATGTTATTCAATTTCCAAGGCACAGAAGATAACTTTTATTTGTGGCTACAAACTTATATGTGTATGAATATGAGCGCTAATTTTATACTGTGCACAGTACATATGCTTTTAGATTGATACTAATAACCCATCTTACCAATCAATCCCCCTGTGGTAGTTATTTCTATTAAAGAACTGTACCTCCTCAAAGGTTTTGGGGCTGGGGGAGTTACTAAGGATGGAGGGATGCATGACCAGGAACAAATACAGAGCAGTGGTTCCTGAAAAGACAACAGAGGTGGAGAGATTAATTAAATGGAAACAATTTCCTACTATTAGCATTTCAAAGTCATTAATAAACCAAGTATTACAACAATCCAAACAGACGCATTTGAGTATTCCTGGAATTAAATTGAATAGATAACCAGCATTTTAAAAGAAGCAAATTCTAAAAGATGAAGAGAATGAGATGTGAGGAGAGGTTGGGAGAGACTGGGAGAGCTGGCTTGTGACGTCAGCTCAGTCACTGACGGGGCCTGTGCCTTTGGCTTTTAGCTTCTCTTTGTCTTGGTGTCTTTGTCACCTGCCTTGCTGACTTCCTCGGCTGTCTCTGAGGATGAGATATTGTACCTGAAAACATTTTGATGTTAATAAAGCACTATACAAATTAAAGACATCATTCTTTAATATATTACATTAGCAAAATCAATACTCGGGTTCACCTATAAAGTTCTTCCTGAGGCCTATAAAAACATTAAATTTGAGATAGAATTTAAACTTCACAGGTTTAAGTTTGAATGTTGAATGTTCTTACATACTTATAAAAAGTAGTGTCAAAAATTGTTTAAACTGCTAAATTTGAAAAAAAAATAGTGCCCTTTCTTAGTGGTATAACTTAGAAAATTTACCTCTTTTGGAAAGAGAATGGTATATCACAGGGACCCATATAGATTTGTGACTACTGGGGATCAAGGCTGTGATTTTTTTATTTGACTAGCCTTTTTTTTTTCATTGAGGTAAAATTGATATATAACATTATATACGTTTCAGGTATACAACATTATAATTTGATATTTGTATATACCACAAAGTGATCACCACCATAATTCTAGTTACAATTTGTCACCATACAATTGACCCCCTTCCCCCTTTTTGCCCCCCCCCCCCCGCCCAAAACCCACTTCCCCTCTGGTGACCACCTATCTGTTTTCTGTATCTATGAGTTTGTTTTTCTTTTGTTTTGTTTGTTCCTTTGTTTTGTTCTTAGCTTGCACATGTAAGTGAAATCATACAGTGTTTGTCCTTCTCCTTCTGACTTATTTCACTTGGTGTAATACTCTCAAGGTTTGTTCATGTTGTCACAAGTGGCAAGATTTCCCCCTTTTTTATGGCTAACATTTTTTCGTTGAGGTAAAATTGATATATAACATATACGTTTCAGGCATACAACATTATCAGATATATGATTTGCAAATATTTTCTCCCAATTAGTAGGTTGCCTTTTCATTGTGTTGCCGGTTTCCTTTGTTGTGCAGAAGCTTTTTAGTTTGATGTAGTCCCATTTGTTTATATTTGCTTTTGTTTTCCTTGCCTTTGGAGTCAGCTCCCAAAAATGATTGCTAAGACTGATGTCAAGGAGCCTACAGCCTATGTATTCTTCTAGAAATTTTATGTTTTCAGGTCTTAGATTTAAGTCTTTAATCTATTTTGAGTTGATTTTTGTGTACGGTGTAAGACAGAGGTCTAGTTTCATTCTTTTGCATGTGGCTGTCCAGTTTTCCCAACACCATTTATTGAAGAGACTATCTTTTTCCCATTGTATATTCTTGGCTCCTTTGTTGTAAATTAATTGTCCATGTATATATGTATATATGGGTTTATTTCTGGACTCTCTATTCTGCTCTATTGATCTTTGTGTCTGTTTTTATGCTAATATCATACTGTTTTGGTTACTACAGCTTTGTAGTATAGTTTGAAATCAAGTAACATGATGCCTCCTGCTGTGTTCTTCTTTCTCAAGATTGCTTTGATAATTTGGGTTTTTTTGTGGTTCCACATAAATTTTAGAATTATTTGTTCTAGTTCTGTGAAAAACGCCATTGGAATTTTGATAGGGAGTGCACTGAATCTGTAGATTGCTTTGGGTACTATGGACATTTTAACAATACTAATTCTTCTAATCCACGAGGATGGAATATCTTTCCATTTATTTGTGTATTCAGCTTCTCTTATCACTGTCTTATAGTTTTCAGTGTACAGGTCTTTCACCTCCTTGGTTAAATTTATTCCTAGATAATTTATTCTTTTGGATGCAATTGTATATGGGATTGTTTTCTTAATTTCTCTTTCTGATAGTTTGTTATTAATGTATAGTTTCTATTCTATTATTCTATTCTACTATTAATAGAATATTAATATTCTATTAATGATAGTTTGTAATTAATGTATTAAACATTAATGTATAATGTTTGTTATTAATGTATTAATGTATAATAATAATGTATTATTAATGTCACAAATTTCTGTATATAGATTTTGTATCCTGCAACTTTACTGAATTCATTTATTAATTCCAACAGTTTTTTGGTGAAGTCTTCAGGATTTTCTATATATAAAATCATGTCATCTTCAAATAGTGACAGTTTTATTTCTTCCCGTCCAATCTAAGTGCCTTTTATTTCTTTTTCCTACCTAACTGCTGTGGCTAGGACTTCCAACACTATGTTGAATAAAAGTAGTCAGAGTGGGCATTCTTGTCATGTTCCTGATCTTAGAGGAAAAGCTTTCAGGTTTTCACCATTAAGTATATTAGCTGTGGGTTTGTTATACATGGTCTTTATTATGTTGAGAAATGTCCCCTCCATACCCACTTGAGGGTTTTTATCATAAATGGATATTGAATTTTGTCAAATGTTTTTTCTGCATCTTTTGAGATGATCATATGATATTAGTTTTTTATTTTGTTAATGTGGTGTATCACGTTGATTGATTTTTAGATGTTGAACCATCCTTGTATCCCTGGGATAAATCTCACTTGATCATGGTGTATGATCTTTTTAATGTACTGTTGCATTTGATTTGCTAACATTTTGTGGAGGATTTTTGCATCTTTGTTTATCAGGGATATTGGTCTGTAATTTTCTTTTTTTGTGGCACCCTTGCCTGGTTTTGGTATCAGGGTAACGCTGGCCTTGCACGATGAGTTTGGAAGCTCTCCCTCCTCTTCAATGTTTTGGAAGAGTTTGAGAAGGATTGTTATTAAATCTTTGAATGTTCGGAGAATTCACCAGTGAAGCAGTCTGGTCCTAGAATTTGTTTGTTGGGAAGTTTTTTTTTTTTAATTACTGATTCAATCTACTTACTAGTTAGCCTATTCAGGTTTTCTCTTTCTTCATGATTCAGTCTTGGAAGATTTGCTTTTAGGAACTTATCCATTTCTTCTAGGTTGTTCATCTTATTGACATACAGTTGTTCATAGCAGTGTCATATGATCTTTGGTATTTTTGTGGTATGAGTTGTAACTTCTCTTTCATTTCTGACTTTGTTTATTTGAGCCCTCTCTTTTATTCTTGGTGAGTCGAGCTAAAGGTTTGTCAATTTGTTTATCTTTTCAAAGAACCAGCTGTTAGTTTCACTAATCTTTTCTATTGTTCTTTTAGTCTCTATTTCATTTATTTCCACTCTGATCTTTATTATTTCCTTCCTTCTACTAACTTTGGGCTTTGTTGGTGTGATTTGTTTTTTATTAAAGTGAGCAATGTCATAAACTGTAAAGTTTGTGTTTTAGAGCCTAAGTTATGAGCTAAAGGGTATAGCTTAGTTAGACTGCTATAAGAGAAAGTAAGGTAATCTGAGTTCAGCTTGCCTAAGATTTAAACAGGTGCTTGCAAGTGTAACTGTGTTTATAAGATCATAATATAAAAATATTTCTGGTCTATGTATTCAGTACTTCTAAGATAGAAATATACCCTTGAGTTTCCACTTCTCTACCCTAATGTGATTTACATTAGTATAGAATCTACTGGAGCAGGACCTGTTCACTGTATTCCAGGTCAATAGACAGCAATGGTAATCAGACATGGCCTTATAATATTTCTCTCACTTGGAGAAATTACTGTTCTAATTTTGCTTAGTAAAAATGTTGCCACTTGTAGCAAATTTTGAATTTTCTTATCTCTCTGATAAGCTTTATTTAGTATTGTACTCAAATCTACCATATCAATACAACAGAAAAATTGTTAAAATAACTCTGCCAACAGCAATACTGTCTAAAACAATGAATTGAAAGAGGCGGTGTTCCAAGATTACATCTGAGCTAAAGCAATGAACATTTTATCTACAGTCGTAGATAATTATAGGGAATGAAACAGTAATCTACAATATACAAAGTAAAAATGTTCTTTGCAAGTTTGACTTAAAAACAGTTGTTCTCAAACTTTAGCATGCGGCAGATTCACCTGGAGGGCTTGGTAAAACAGAGAGCTGGGCCCTATCCCAGAGTTTCCCATTCAGCACATTCTGAGAACCACTGACTGAAAAGAAATGTGGGAGGAAATCTAAAACTTATTGGGGACAAAAAGTTCCATTGCTTGAAATCCCTAGTAGAGTAAAGCTTTCTAGAACATAGTCTTTAGAGTCTGGTAAATTCTAGGATCAGGAGTTTTACTTTTTCACTTACCAGCTGTGTGAACTTGAACGAAACATATCTAACCTGAGTCTTAATTTTCTTCTCAGTATAGTGGGAAAGAAAATACTTAGCTATCAGGGTTTTATGAGGGTAAAGTGAGATAACCTATGTGAAAGTACTTAAATAGTTCCATTTCTGAATATTCGTAAGACATTTTTTAAAATAACAACTTTATTGAGATAAAATTCAGTAATGCATTTTTTAAAAAATGAAAAGAATAAACTTTTTGTGAGGATTATAAGTATGGCAATTATAATGTGAAAGAAGAAAACATTAATTCCTTTCTTAGATCAACTTAAAACATTCTTTTCTGAACATTATTTTTAAGAATTGTATTAAATCATGTTTAATAGCATGACCAGCGTTAATAATACAAACAGGAAAAACAGATATGATCCGATTGTTTGCATTGTCAGTAAAAGACATAATGTAATCTATCAGCGTCAAAAAATCACTAATTTGTAGTTTCTGAATTCTATTTTTACCTACACATGTTCTTGGATCTGAATAAACTGTCCTGTGTGTGTGTGTGTGTGTGTGTGTTTGAATATGTATAATGTGTGTGTGTGTGTATCAACTACATAATCCTAGACACAGACATTCAAATAATCATCCACAAAACTTCAGTTTTTATATTTTTGTCAGTTACAATGGTAAAAATATTTGAATATCTAGATGGCTATATATCTACGCAAGATTATTCAGGAAAAGACTTTTGACAAAACTGAAGTTAAAAATGAAGATTTAATTTTTATGGAACTGATATGTCCATTTAAAAAATCAATTTCACAAAACATCGATATTCACAACAACATGGAAGAATCTCAAAAGCATTATGCTTAGTGAAAAGAAGTCAAACACAAAAGATTACACAATTTATGCTTCCATTTATGTGAAATTCTAAAAAAGGCAAAACTATAGGCAGAAAGTGGTTGCCTGTGGCTCAGGATGGGGGTGGGGGAACTGACTTCAAAGGGACATGGAGAAGCTTTTTAGGGACACAGAAGTGTTCTGTATCTTGAATATCGTGGTGGCTTCACAACTGTGTACAATTTCCCCAAGTCATCACACCGTGTATTTAAAATGGGAGAATTTTACCGCATGTAAATTATACCTTTGTAAAACTGGGAAAAAATTCAATTTCTCTAAAAAGGAGATAAAAAAATTCCCTTCCAAAGGTAAATATCATATACGAATTGAACACAAACATTTTAAACCTAGCTGAGTCTGAGATGACAAGGAATTATTCTGCCATCTAAGTATGATTTTAAAATGTCTGCATATCTAGCACAACAGCAGAGGAAGCATACCCTGCAGGGCTTTCTGAAGCAAACTGGATCCGCCAGGCTTCCCAGAGAAGATGTGATCAGTAACGACACAGCTGTGTGACGGCAGTGGGAGTTTGCTGAAGAGGCTTTAGGTTATATGTTTTTCTAGTTGCCTCTTCACTTTAAATAGATAAGGACCAGTGAAATAAATAAGGACAAGAGAAGTATTTGTCACATTTATTACTGTTTTCAGATTGATATTTGCAAAATGGGACTAAGAGAAAATGAATAAGCTAAACTTTCTGTGTACATTACATAGGTTCTCCCCGGTTATTTCCAGAGAATGGAGGAGAGGGCATGTACACCCATAGGAAGGGGTATGGTGGAAATGGCTGTTTTCTGTGAAGCCAGAATCCAAGGGCCCCAAATAATTTATCATGCAGGATACAGCATGAATGTCTGGCCTTTTAAAGCTTCATTTTAATACTGATTCTTACAGAAACAAGAAGTTTGTGGGAAAAATTGCACACTGATTTAAGAAAAGATGCAAAAGATTTCTCGTGGGTATAAATAAATACCTTCCTTAGCCCAGTTTTGTTTATGTCTAGGAATTCTGCTTTTAAACATCCTTTAGACTTTTAGAAAATAGACATCTCTGCAAGAAATAGTTTAGAAATAAACCATATCAGGAAGATGGCAGGAAAAGGCTATTTTTCTGAAAGGGATTTATTATAAAGAGTTATAGGAAGTTACATGTGTCCATCGTGACATTTAATGAAATCCTGTCAGTTACTCACTAAACACACGATTAGTTTCGATTTTAGAAATGTTAATAATAACAATCCTTCAATTAAGATCTTTAGAAAAAACTCACATCTGCAACCAAATTGACTGCTGGATATTCAAACTGTGTGACATCTATTTTCATCCTTTTCACTTAAAAAACTCACTGACAAGCGTTTCAGGACATTATCAAGCTAAACAAAGATTATGTCAGAGAACAAAATGTGTTATTTATTCATCAGTATTTATAGGAAGTTTGAGAACTCATTGTGACAAGAACTCATTGTCTAACCATCAATATTTTTACACTGTTTGGTTAACCATAACATAAAACGTTCTCACCTGTTTTCTGGGGTCCTATTACCAAGAATTTTGGTAAGCGATCACAGGTTTTTTCTTTAGACCAAATGTCTCTGTGGCGTTTGTCATCACAAGGATTCTAAACGGGAGAAGAATATACAGATGTATTTTTTTCAGTGTCCATCATGTGCAAGAGTTTTCAACTTCTGCCCTTAAAAAGACATCCCAGGAAACAAGGCTATGTGGCTCCTTCTTTTAAATGAGAGACTGAAAGTGGCATCCTGGAAGCTTTCAAATAACTCCTTTCCATTCTGCAGCTGAGTGTCTGCTGAGGAGGTGGGGGGAGGAGAGTTTCTACGACTGGTAAATGGCTTCAGGTAAACTGAAGGTTTAATATTTTTTCTGTTATTGGCGGTTGTATGTCTTAATTGTGTGTGTGTGTTTTAAAATAGTGAGCTTTTCGGGCAGAGACCATGCTTCCTGGAACCTGAAAGAAGATACACTCTCAGTATCTAATAACTGAAATATAAGGTGTCAAATTTTTATTCTAAGTAACTTTGAGCTTCCTGCTGTCTTCAAAGGGATGTGGATCTGGCCAGAATACTGCTGTTTAAAGAGATTGCAGATTCCTTTCAGCTGCCTTCGAAGGTCGGTAAATGCATATCTAAAACTATAACTTTACAGATTATGATGCTAAAAAGCACTAAATTTTAGCAAAAGGGAAAATGAGGGTGAATTACTACCTTAGGGATCTGCCTCTGGTCTATAGCACTTAAAGCAAACCCACTGTGCAAGATTATCTAGAACATCCTTGAGTTTACCTGCTAAGCACACCTTAAGTGAAGAATTAACAGTACTGTTAATAATACTATTCCAGGAACAGGCAAACAGGACAGTAATCTCTTTCTATTCAATTTATAATGTAGAAATATATAGCTAAATAAACCTTCTGGTTATTTACAATAAGCAACAGATGTTACGACTAAAGTGAGGGTATTTTTGGTTGATGTTCTGGGAAAAAAGTGGTTTCAAATCTGTCACCTGAAATAATAATGATTTCAGTTTAAAAATAAGGTGTTAAATTAGCAGGAAAATTACATGTCTTTCCAGTGGCTAACATTTTGGTGATATTTTATGGTGGTGAAGATAAAAAAGACGTGTGTGATAGTGACTGCAAAAATAATATGCAGTGATGATTCCACAACCGCCAACGTTAACCTACTGAAAGGTGCAGTTGTGTCTCTTCTTGGGGTTATCTGTTTGTGCTCAGGAGGTAATTTGCTCAAGTTCAAAGCTGAATGAATTGAATATAGAGTTCAGAGCTTACTGCAACTTCAATCTGTGAAATTTACGCAGTTTCACTTCTGAAGATTGTCATTATTGTACCATCAGCTCTGTCGGTAACTCTCCAGTAGCATTTAGAACAGTGATTAAGAGGACAGCCTGTGGAGCCACATGGCCTGGAACTGATTCCCACTCTGCCACACTAGCTGTGTGACCTTGCTTAAGTGTCTCAGCCTTTCTGTGCCTCAGTTCCTTCATCTGTAAAATGCAGATAACTGTACCTACCACATAGGGTAGTTGTGAGGATTAAATGAGTTAACATATGTAAAGAACCCAGTCTGACACATAATAAGCACTATGTAGTTATTTGCTAAGAGTATTGCTTTCCCTAGATCATGGAGTGGGCAATTTAAATTCAAAGTATGTTTCTACAATTCTAGAACACATGAGAGTTTATGCTCTGAAATCTGGGTTACGCCTAGAACAGTTTGAATATGCCACTAAATACTTCCCCCATGTTCAAAGTAATTCCTAACTAATCCTTTGAAAGCCACCCATACTCTGCAGCTGCAGGGGCACCCTGTGGTTCAGAGGGCAGGTGTCAGTGCTGAACTCTGCTCACTCATCCCTCTAACGTCATTTAGTCGTTAGAGATTTAAGGATGTGCTCAAGGCTGACCGGCACTGCCTGCCTACCACACACCCTCTCACCCTCCTTCCACTCTTTCAGCAGACTGCAATCTGCAGATCGATCCCCCACTCTCGACTGAAAACATTACATCGACTGAACGCCTCATTGAGCTTTCAGAATCCCGTAATTTCCAGTGGGCACAAAAACTGAGAATTTGGCCCACTATGGAGCAATAATATATGACTACAATTGAGGAAGAAGTATTTTCTCGAATCTACTAACATTTCTAAAATGTATTTTTTTTCCCCAGATGCCTTCACTTATCAGATTTGGATTCTCTCTAAGAACTCCAAGATATGTTTGTGGAATTAATTATACCAACTGAACTAATCTTACCTGCCAGAGAGGGTCTTTTTGATCAGGAAAGAGCTCAAAATACTTGTGAGCCAGCTGCACCGGAGGCAGAGTCTGAAGTCGCAAGTTGGTCCAGCTCTGCACGAAGTTGGCCAGATTAACAAACGTATATAATCCCAATCGGTCATTCCCATAGTTGGACAAATGGGTCATGAAAATGCTGATCTGAAAGAGGCAAATGCACTTCAGTGTAAATGCAAGGTATTTTAACCCTAGGGGGCAGTGTAATCATGGCAATGTTATTTTTCCTTTCTTTTCTGTATTTTTTGAGGAAGATTAGCCCTGAGCTAACATCTGCTACCAATCCTCCTCTTTTTGCTGAGGAAGACTGGCCCTGGGCTAACATCTGTGCCCATTTTCCTCCACTTTATATATGGGACACCTGCCACAGCATGACTTGATAAGTGGTGTGTAGGTCCACACCCGGGATCCAAACCTGTGAACCCTGGGTCACCAAAGCGGAACGTGCAAACTTAACCACTGTGCTACCAGGCCAGCCCCCAGTGCTAGGTTTTTCTTAAGCATAGTGTTTCTATTCATGATGCGGTTTTGAATTTTGGACATATCCCAAATACTTTCATTATATTAATGCGTACTGGAGGATGTGTTATTAGCAAGACCTGATGAGCACTTTTTTCTTGTCTTTGAATCTATTTCATAACAACAAATGAGTCCAACTGCCATATAGTCATATTGGTGCAATTAGATTGATATCCTAGAAGTTAAGGGGTATAAATAATCAGTGAACTGTCATTATTAGCATTAACTGAATAGCCTATGATATGTCTTTATTAGCGGCTATAATGACAAAAGGCTAGTGACTGAATTTTTACTAAAATAACTATTAACTATTTTCCATCAATAACACTCTGAAACCCTTTCCCATATTCATTGGGTCTATTATTCCCAATATCAGATACCTCCTTTACGAAAAGTTTTCAATGCGTGGCTAGAAAAAATGGACTCTTCCTATGGAAGGAGCTGACCTAGATTAATCCATATATTGAAAAAGAAAATCATAGCAAACAGGGGGAACATTTTGTAATAAAATAAATTTGAATTCTGTAGATTTGATTAAATTGGTCTGGAATGTAGAATGGGCATTTTCAAAGCCACTGCTTTAAGTGAATGCAAATAGTTTTTCTTGGTTAGTGTTGACAAATGGAAATAATTCTGGATGAGATTTTCAATGGCAAAAAAAACCATTGTGGCATTTATGCTTCTGTAAAAAAGATCATAAAAATAATTCATGTGATAATAGTACTTTCCTAAAATATATAATGTCATGTGAACGAGTAGTAATAATGGTTATTATAATCATCATAATAATGAATATAATAGGTTAATTCATTAAGAGACTGAAAGAAATAGTAAAGAAAATTTACTGAGGTAAAGTGGCTGAGATGAGAGAAAGCTTATATTAAGTTTTGATATAATGAATCAGAAAACAATGTAATTACTTACAACTATGAATAAGAGGAAACAGTGCTATCCTATAGTCTACAGAACAAATTCTGCAGCTTTTACATGAAAAGCTTCGACTATGATCAAGAATATTTAACTGTGTTTCTATTCGCTCTGCCTGAACATATATTAAATCTTAGAACTTTCACAAACAGAAGAATACTTGGGTGAATTTACATAGCTACCAGCAGACTGATGTAGTCATGGAATTGATAAGTAAGACTTTTACTATTTTGGGAATTTCTGAAAAATGAGACTTTTATAATTTAACCTTCTGGTTATTTTTTATAGTAGCTTCAATTATGTGACTCCCCACCCACCCTGCCTTTTTCTTCTCTAAAATTTATCAAAACAGAATGCAATTAAGAGACTTAGGAAAATCAGCTTAAATTTGGAAGTTCTTTTCTAATGCCTGTTAGAGGCAGGCTTTCGTCATTTTTGATGCCACATTTTTCAATGTTGTCCAATAGCAAGAGCAAAATGACACTTCAAGTTGCCTTGCTATTAAAAGAATAGGAAAAATTTTAATACAATATAAAAAATACATGTATTAACCTAGTTCACCACTGGTTCAAATTTCTTGCTTTGCTTTTATGAAAGATTTATCAAAAAATCTAGATGTCTATATTTCACTTGAATAATATCTGCATTGGACAGAAAATGGAAAACTTAGAGATACTATGTGACTTTGTGATACTAATACATTTGACCTCCCCTTGAATTTACTTTTCAGCCTCTGAAAACATTTTATGCTGTGACATTCAAAGCAGAGTGCCACTTTTTTACTTGTATGAGTACAGAAAGTAAAAAATGTTACTCTCTCCGGTAAAGATAGAGGCAACCCAAAGTGAGTCATGAGTCAATGACATTGCTTTTGCTGAAACCGAAACTGATTGGCAAGAATTAAGGTAACACTCATAAGATGTGGAAATTAATCCTGTAAAAGAAAAACTATTTAGCCTCCAACCATGCAATCTTTTTCAGATTTTCAATTCTATTTTTGTATATCAACATTAACATAATGTGAAGTGCACCATAACCAAACGGCTGTTTCAAAGTGATGCTTTTGTAATGCACGTCACCTCATGACACTTTTAGACTTTGGACTCAAGCCTGGGATTGGTTTTGTGCTCCTAAAGAAATACAAAGCCATGAAAGGAGTATAATTGGTCAGGACATAAAACACTTCAATTTCTTTTTAAACACTTTTTTTGTGTGTGTGTGTCACAATATTCTGTCTACACATGGAATATTGTATATCTTTTGCTGAACATGAACATCTCCAAGTTTTCTTTGTTAGTTTTTTAGCTAGGAAAGTATGCACAACAAGCAACAGGACTGGTGAAACAGATCTACGATGACAATGTTTTGGTCAAAAAGTAGCTTGCTTTCCAGGTAGTATTTCTTCCTTACTCCTGTTCTGACGTATGACAACTATAGCATCACTTTACTTCTTGGCAATTCCCCACCTGATGACAATTTCTGCATGGAATAGAAAGAAATTCTTCTAATCCATGAGCACAGAATAGCTTTCCATTTATTTGTGTCTTCTTCAGTTTCTTTCATTAATGTCTTGTAGTTTTCAATATACACGTCTTTCACTTCCTTGGTTAAATTTATTCCTAAGTATTTTATTCTAATCGATGCAATTGTAATGGGATTGTTTTCCTAATTTCTCTTTCTGGTAGTTCATTATTAGTGTGCAGAAAGGCAACAGATTTTCGTGTATTGATTTTGTATCCTGCAACTTGACTGAATTCATTTATTAGTCCTAACAGTTTTTTGATGGAGTCTTTAGGGTTTTCTATGTATAATATCATGTCATCTGCAAATAGTGACAGTTTTACTTCTTCCTTTCCAATTTGAATGCCTTCTATTTCTTTTTCTTGCCTATTTGCTGTGGCTAGGACTTCCAGTACTATATTGAATAAAAGTGGTGAGAGTGGGCATCCTTATCTTCTTCTTGATCTTAGAGGAAAAGCATTCAGCTTTTCACCATTGAGTATGATGTTAGCTGAGGGCTTGTCATATATGGCCTTGATTATGTTGAGGTACATTCCCCCTATACCTGCTTTGTTAAGAGCTTTTATCATAAATAGATATTGAATTTTGTCAGCTGCATTTTCTGCATCTACTGAGATGATCATATCATTTTTATCCTTCATTTTGTTAATGTGGTGTATCATATTGACTGATATGTGGATGTTGAACCATCCTTGTATCCCTAGAATAAATCCCACTTGATCATGGTGTGTGATCTTTTTAACGTATTGTTCAATTCAGTTTGCTGATGTTTTGTTGAGGATTTTTGCATCTACGTTCATCAGAGATATTGGCTTGTCACCTTCTTTTGCTGTGGTATCCTTGTCTGGTTTTGGTATCAGAGTAATGCTGGCCTTGTAAAATGAGTTTGGAAGGTTCCCTCCTCTTCTATTTTTTGGAAGAGTTTGAGAAGGATTGGTATTAATGCTTCTTTGAATGTTGGGTAGAATTTACCAGGGAAGCCATCTGGTCCTGGACTTTAGTTTTACTTGTTTGATTTGATCTCTTTTCATTTTGCATGATTCTCAGTACTTGGGAAACATTATTTGAACATTGGATCAGCTCTATTTAACTTAAAACGATCATGAGTTACAGGTGAAAGAGAAACAAACGCGAATGAGGAGTAATAAGGGAAGTAGAAAAATGGTCTGTTTTTCGTCAGACTGTGGAAAGGGGAAATATTAGTTTTAATAGCTTCAGATGACTTACTTGTGAGGATTCAATGAGATTATACATGTGAAGAGCTCAATATAGTGTCTAACAACATGGTAAGCATCCAAGAAATGCGTGTTACCTGAAAAAGATGCAAGGGTAACTTCACTGGGTAAAATATGATATTTAGACATATCTTTAAATTTTTGTCCCCTAGGCTAAACTGTTATAATTATTAGGTCTGTTCTGAAGAAGGCATGTCAATATACTTTGGAGTTCATTTTGGTTCCTGTCTCATGTGTAGAAAAGTAAGTCAGTGATTCAGAGAACACTTCATTTTTTTAAAAAATCTGGGTGGACTTTGATTTTTCTGCTGTAGCTGGTTATTGTATACTCTCCTTGCTATGTTGTATGACATCAATATTACATTGTATATAATAATTTATTTTCTCTACTTTTAATCTCAGAGTCTAGTTGCCTCTATCTGCTCTTTATGTAAAGGTAATAAATGTAATTCACTTTATGGCATGTTTCTTCAACAAGTCATCACACAAACTCTAAAAATAATATTTGCATTCTTAGAAATCATTGTGTAACTCATACGTTAAACATTTCAGATTCATGGGATATAATTGCTAAAGTAACCTTATTGCTTTTCTGCACTGTCCTTTTAAAATTTATTCAGTGTGGGTGGTTTTCCTCTTATCCCTGGATGGTGGCCAGGGCAGGCAGTGTGGCTCCCTAGGTCTTTAGATGACAGAAAGCTTTCATGTAGCTTTAAGTTGCTAACACAGTTTTGATTTAGTAGTTTAAATCTCCTGGTTCAGAAAATAATCAAAATTCCGAACTTGTTGCAAT